CACACTTTCTAGTTTTCACACTGGTTATGTCTCCCCCCAGAGATGTTACATACAATCCCACAATAATATACACACCTTTGCATTTCTAATACAATGAACTCCTAAGGTCTTTAAAATTAATTCAGTATGGTTTGGCCTTGGAAATTGCCAGAAATTGCCAAATCTGCCACACCTAGCTCCTGGGGTCTTGTGATTACGTGAAAACCCCACCTCTCTCCACTGAGCTCTCCTGCACAGCCCCGCCTAGCTCCCCCCCCCAGCAACCCCACCTCTCCTCACTGAGCTCCCCACACAGCACTTCCCACCTCCTCCTCAGCAACCCCCCTCTCCCACTGAGCTCCCCCCCCACAGCGCCATCTCAGCTTTCAGTTGAAAAAGCAAGTTTCTAGCTTTCATGGTAGCAGAGAAAAGCATGAAAATGTGACCTGAATAGATCTTCATGGCTCAGAAATCAGAAGGCAAATAGAAAGCCCCCAAATGTATCTATAGGTTTTTAAAATCTCATGGTCTTTTGGAGCCTGACTTAAATTATGAACACATGAGGTTGGCCACATTACATACTTATATTATGGACTGTCTTCTACTCTGCTCCAGTTGAAGCCACGGGCAAAACTTGTCTTTTGACTTTAGTGGGGCCCTATATGTCTGCTTTTCTGTCTGGTATGGGTTGTCCTGGTGGTTGATGTAATGTGTGAATTCTTCATTATCCCTCCCGGTGCCAGTCCAGCAGAACTCTTGTCACACAGCAGAGGGAGCTAAACATACCTTCTGCTCTACAATTTAATATTGAACAACTTTGCACATCTTGGAAACATGCCCTGTTTTTTCAGAACGGCAGAGCACAAACAGAGCTCACTGAAGTCAATAGGCTGTGTAGGCGCTCAGCACTTTTGCAGATCAGGCCAGGAGGTTACAGGGCGTGTGCATACATGTACAATGCATCATTTGCCAAGTCACATCATGATTTACACCCAGATAATGGAGGGTAGGATCAAACTCTTGTGGCTGGTGCATACAAAAGGCGCCTATACTGGACTGGACCTCAAAAAACCCAGTTCTAGTCTTGGCTTCACCCCCCCTGTGCCCCAGTTTACCCATCTATAAAATAGAGATATTGATACTGACCTCCTTTGTAAAATGCTTGGAGATTTACCGATGAAAAGCACTAGCTAAGAGCTGAGTATTATTATTACTGACCCACAAAGAGTCACAAATCATGGGGACTATATGCTATCTGATGGGTAAATGTAACCCACTGGTCAGTGTGTGTTATGTATCCCTCATTGTGCCGGACCCAGAAAGAGTGAGTCTGTTATAGCCCCATCATAAAACCAAGCTGGATAGCTCAAGCTATAACAATTTATGCTTTTAGTGCTGGAGATCCCAGTTCAGTTCTCAGTATCAGCCAAGATGGTGGTCATTGCATAAGCATCTCCTTTCCAGCAGCCACAGAAAACTGCATTGGGCAGTATCTCCTTCCCCAAGGCAGTCCGTGACTTTCCCCACCATCCTCTTCATATATTTCATGTTCTTGGCAATTAATATTACCTTAGCCTCCTGCTATTGTGCCATGGACAGGCAGTTGGAGAAATCTTCTAAAAGGAGCTGTGAACTAAAGAACTGGGCTCATGCATAGGCAATGAGAAGGAATGTGTCGGAAGATGACCCTACCTCTAAAAATTCATCTGGGAAGGCAGAAAGAAGTTCTCACTTCCCTAATAGCAGACTCTTACAACAGACCAGGAAAGGAAAGGGCTAGAAGCCAAACATATCCATATCCGCATCAAGAGGAGTCAATTCTCAGCTATCAGATGGTATTAACTTTTGATCACCACCAAGATGAGCAGCTTAAAAGCTGGAAGGACAGATCTGTTGACTCATTCCCAAGACCCTGGGCCAGTCAGTCCCCCACAGCTGTTTTAAGTTTTCTTCATTCCACACAACAACATGGAAATGTATAGTATGCCCATAATGCCACTTTGCAGGCCACATCACCACATAAACCCCAGTTAAAATGCCACCTGCCATATTTATGGCAACAGTTTAGAAATCCATATCTGACACTGAAGTAAGAAATCCCAACACTGGACTTAACAACCAGTAAAGACCAAGTGCCAGGAGAGATGATCATGGCAAAGCAATTCTTATTATTTCTAAAGCAGCCAAAATTGTACCAAGTGCTATCTGGCCATGCAAGAAGACAGGTATCTGCCCTAAAGATCTTACAGTCTTTGGCCCAACTCATGCAAGCTGACCTGCTTTCATGGGGCCGCATTGGGGCTCCATGCACGTCCTGGGTTCTGTCCACACAGACAAGGGATGCAGAGAAGAGATTTAGCACAGAACAATGCCCCCCTTAAACAAACAGTTTAAGCCCCGCAAATCACCTTTTACTTGTTTCTGTTTAGCAACACTGCTAACAGATTGCAATGCATTTAGCATTTCACCCTAATGGAGAACAATGAAATAGCTGACCAGAGTTTTCATGCTCCCTCAATCCTGGAGCCATTCTGTGCCAGTGACACCCCCACGTGAAATACATTACGCTGGCCACCCCACCCCACCCCACCCCAGGAATTGCCAGAGCAGAGGGGTGTTCCATTCATGCCTCCTTCGGTCTGTCCATGACCCCTGTGCTGGAGGTGGGGCTGTAGGACCCACTACAGCAGGCAGAATTCTCAACTAGCCATTTCAGGGGCAAAGCAGATTTAATTTATAGCAAAGAAGGGGTGGAGGGTCTGGCCCATTTTCCTTTGCTAGTTATTGAACTTTAGCTTCTAGCAGTGTTTTGGCTGACAGAAATTCTGATTTGGGAAATAATTGCTAGCGATGTGCAATGCTTCATCAAAATGAAACTGTGCACAAAGCCATCTGCTAATGGCAAGTACCTCAGGGGGAGATCCAGAACTGGCGTAAATTATCATAGCTTCCTTGAAGCCAATGGAACTATGACAGTTTATGGCAACCGAGGCTCTGTCCCCGAAGTCTGCCATTGGAAAGATCTATAGCATCTTACTGTCTGAGGGTTGTTGCTGTTGTTGTGTGTTTCATTGCAGAGATTATCTCCTGCTCTGAAACTGAGAACATCCCATAGTCTAACACAAAGATATTTGCTTCAGAGATAGTCCCGAACCTATAAAATACTATTTAATCTTCTTACAGGCTGCAGGTATTAAACTGGATTGTCTATTCCTCCAGCAATATGCCCTTCACACCTGACCCTGTCTCTTATTGGAATTCAGCTGGGAGAGACCTAACAAAAATGGGATAATTTTCTCTGCTTCTACCCATAACTCATCTCATTTCTGGGTGCTACATGTCAAAGAAACTTCCAGCACTAAATGCTAGCAATGAAACCCCAATTCCTCTTGAACATCATTTTTGAAGGTAAGCTATGGAGTTTCATATGATTGCCTGAGAGATCTCTATTAGATAAGACAGTCTAATCACAAGGTAAAGGAATAGGTTTGAAAATACTCTGTTTACAAAAGAATATTAAAATAGTCTTCAGTCAATGAGACTGGAAAAAACAAGGGATAGACACTCAGAAGGTATTAAAGTCATTGAGCTATAACAATTTCCATCAGCTGATGATCTGCCCTTTACTTGCAAAAATTGTTTGGGTAGCTCATTTTGGAGAGGAAAAGTAAATTATGTTTAAATAAGGGGTTAGTTCAGGTATCTTTTTCTGTTCTCTGTTTTTCTTCTCTTTCTTTGATTTTGCTTTTTTTGTTGTGTTATGAAGAGTGACAATTTCCTTTACTTCTATACACTTTACTGAAGAATACAGCTGACTGTATCATTACATGCTTATAGTTAATATATGTACATGAACCTTTTAGACACTAGGAGTAGGATTTATAGGATCTCTCTCTCTCTCTGTAGGTACTTCTGTAGCCCCCATTACTGGAGTCTCTGAGCACCTCCCAAGTATTTAAAACAGAGATAGCAACATCTGTACCTGCCCCTTCCTTTCCCCTAGTTAGAAATCTAAATTGATTAGCTTATGGAGTTTTAAATATGTGAGTACATGTGCTTGAAGAATAACTTAGTGAATGGCTTAGAATTGTGTTCTATTTACATCCTCTCCTCATTTAATATAACAATCCTATTCTGAAAACTGTTCAAAATAATAGTTTACGATACAATACACCAACTCCAAACTGCAAGGTGAATGTTATTCACCCCCACATCAATGTTTCTGTACTGCCATAGCCCACGTTCCTGTTGCTTTGGGATTTACACTTTGGCTCCCTCTGTAAGTATGTAAAATATGCTAATTATGCCCAAACAGACAGTGTGATAACTAGTCCACTTTGCCAGTCCTAATTTGGACAGTAGGTTTGAAGAGGTGTAGCCATAGTAACAAATGAATGCTCAGCACCTTTGTTTTTACTATAGCCAGGCCTTGTCTTCCGCTCTTCTCAAACTGAAAGCAAACATAGAAATCACCTTTTGTTTGGTTTGTATCTCATGAGAGTGCAAACATTGGGAAGCTGTGGAGTGGTACTAGCTGGGAGATATTAGAGCAATTACCAGGTACATTTCCAGCAACGTGTCAAGCTTATGTAGGTAAGTAACTGGCCTGTATGAAGAGTGGATTTAACATGATGGGGTCGTCCTTAGTACTTAATCTTCTATAGTGATTTAGACTGTAAGTAAGCTCCTTGGGGCAGGGACCATGTTGACTTATATGTTTATAAAGCACTGAGCACAGTGCTACAAACTATCAGATGGACCCAAATCAAAACCCAGATCTGAAGAACCCTGAGCTTTGTGAGGTGAAGTGATGGGGGAGAGCAGAATCCAGATACAGAGATAAATGTTGTGGCTGGCTCATCTCCATAATGAGCCAAACCAAAATGCCAGATCTGTACAGCCCCAAACTTTGGGAAATGGGGGGGTTGAAATCTGGATCCAGATCTGAATTTGCCAGTTTAGGCCCATCTTGTATAATGCAAACATAATGCCAGTTAATAATGCGTTGAGTTGAGTTAGGTGACAGTAGATCCTTGCACTACATGTTTCACACCAGAACTTCTTCTTTTGTAGGATTCTACACTTTTTGTAGCATGTAGTTCCGGTCCTGTTGAGATCCCTACATCTAGGAGCAGCAAGAGACTCCTAATGATAGGTGTAAATGCAGTTTGGTGACCAGGAGAAGTCTCCATTGGCTCCAGGAACATTGATCAGATTTGTGAGCATTTGGGAAATGCATTTACCACTGAGGAGAAGGCTTCAGAGGAACCGGGTTCTTTTCCTACTGTCCATGGTATTGGCTTTTTCCATCTATCAGCTTCTCTGTGGCCCTAAAATTCGTTCAGCACCTTGGACAGCATCTCAGCCTGAGGACCAAGTGAAAGTGACCACCAGGGACCTTTCCAGCAACAAGGCCGCTGCAGTGGACAATGGGACAACAGTATCCAAGATAAGGCATTGTGTATATGTGGACCCTACACCAACTGTGCCCATCACATCATCAGTAAATGCAACCCCACCCCTAGGAAGTGTCAATCTGAGCCACCTGGATGAAGAGGGAAGTTACCCAACACCACCCTCCCATGGAGAATACCCTCAAGACCTTTTTAGCTTGGAGGAGCGCAGGAAAGGGTGGGTCATACTTCACATCTTTGGCATGATGTATGTGTTTGTGGCCTTGGCCATAGTGTGTGATGAATATTTTGTCCCCGCCTTGGATGTAATCACGGAGAAGTTGCAAATCTCCGATGATGTGGCAGGGGCCACCTTCATGGCAGCAGGCGGATCAGCACCAGAACTCTTCACCTCTCTCATAGGTGTCTTCATCTCACATAGCAACGTGGGCATTGGCACCATTGTAGGCTCAGCAGTGTTTAATATTCTTTTTGTCATTGGCACCTGTGCCCTTTTCTCGAGGGAGATACTCCACCTGACCTGGTGGCCCTTGTTTAGAGACGTCTCATTCTACATTCTAGACTTACTGATGCTCATCCTGTTTTTCTTAGACAGCTTCATTGTTTGGTGGGAAAGCATCCTTTTGTTGAGTGCCTACGCCCTCTATGTGCTCACCATGAAATGGAACGTTTACTTAGAACAATGGGTGAAGGAACTGGTGAACAAGACAAGAAGTACTGTGAAGGCGGCCACTTCTGAAGACACAAGGAAGGTTAGTGTCCTCGTTGTTTTGTTGCCTCGTTGGAAATATTTGTTCTCACTTAAAGCACAAAGAAAGGTTGAGTCTCCTTGGCAAAGGGTGCATGGGACCAATCTAATCAACCCCTTCAAAACTACAACTGTTGGTCAAGACAATTGCTTTACTTACTGATGATTGTTAAAAGGTGAGGGAACGTAATCTAAATATTAGGAAGTGAGGGGGAAATCAAGAAAAAGTCCATAATCCATTCAAAGGGGGCTCAACTGTAGAACAATTCATACTGTATCCATTAGGTGCACCTCTGCATTTTCAGAGAGATGTATGGTATTTTCCACTCAGCTGTCATTAGTGGGAACTAGATGATTCAGTCCCATTCACTGCTGGAGATATAGGGCCTACATTAGCAGTCGGGAACCACAGAAGACACACTGGCTTGAAATGAGCATCCTAGGAGCGAACAGGAGCATTTCTTTGGTTGTTTGAATCTGAACAATATAAAGACCACAATCCTTCCCTTTTGCCTGTCAGGCTAGATCAGGAGTGGGCAAACTTTTTGGCCCGAGGGCCACATCTGGATGGGGAAATTGTATGCAGGGCCATGAATATAGGGCTGGGGCAGGGGATTGGGGTGCAGGAGGGAGTGCGGAGTGTGGGAGGGAGCTCTGGGCAGGGGATTGGGGTGCAGGAGGGGTGCGGGCTCTGGCCTGGTGCCGCTTACCTTGAGCAGCAGCATGCAGCAGGGCTAAGGCAGGCTCCCTGCCTGTCCTGGCCCCATGCCACTCCCCGAAGTGGCCAGCATGTCCGGCAGTGGCTCCTCGGGGGCGGGGGCAGGGGCAGGCAGCTCCGCCGGGTGCACTGCCCTTGCCTGCAGGTACCACCCCCAAAGCTCCCATTGGCCGTGGTTCCCTGTTCCTGTCCAATGGGAGCTGCAGGGGGCGGTGCCTGCAGGTGAGGGCAGCGCCCGGAGCTCTCTACCCCGCCCCCACCCAGGGGCCGAAGGGACGTGGTGCCGTCCACTTCTGGGAGTGGCGCAGGGCAAGAGCAGGCACAAAACCTGTCTCAGCCCCAGCTATGCCACGGGGCTGGCAATCCCACAGGCCGGATGGAAAGCCCTGATGGGCCGGATCTGGCCCATGGGCCATAGTTTGCCCTCCCCTGGGCTAGATGCTGAGCAGTCTAAGCTACTGACTCCTGTGGTATATGAAAACTATGTGTAACTGTGGTATCATCACACCTTTTTTGTGCAGAATGTGAAAAGGAGCAGAGACCAAAGAATAGGAGGACTTGTGGCACCTTAGAGACTAACCAATTTATTTGAGCATAAGCTTTTGTGAGCTACAGCTCACTTCATCGGAAGCTCATGCTCAAATAAATTGGTTAGTCTCTAAGGTGCCACAAGTCCTCCTTTTCTTTTTGCAAATACAGACTAACATGGCCGCTACTCTGAGACCAAAGAATGATACTGAAAGGGATGAGTGGCACAGAGAGCGCTCCACGTAAATCAGGAGACATATGTGCAAATACTGCAGGACAACCTGATCTAATGGGAATCTGAGAAAGTTTTTCTAAGGAGTTTTGCCATTTTCTTGAACTGTGGATCTCCAACCCCCTTTTGCTCCCCTAAAAGAAGCTGAAGAAAGGGAGCAAGAGTGGGCTGGAGATCCACAGTTCAAAGGTGGGGAAGTGTGGAGCCAAGGAGCTGCCAGCCCATGAATTATGCTCCCCTCTGAACACGGCAGATTTCCAATAGGAAACTCATGTGTAACATCAGCTGCGTGCATAATCAATACACACACCATGGTCAACAGCAAGAATCAAACCTGGGGTCTTCAGCACCCAAGACACAAGCCTCTGCCCTTTGAACTAAGGGAGAATTCTAGCTGTGAGACAACATCAGACTGTATAGCTGCTGGAACCAGCCATGAGCAGGAAATGTGATCCCAGACTCCATGTGTGGAAAGCAACGCTGCACAGTGCAGGATTAACCCCCTCTGCACCTGCTCTCCCTCTCAGCAGATGGGTAAGGCATAGATGCTGGGGACAGAGGCAATGGTTACCCAGCTCCTCAGGAAGCACTGCAGAAGGGGAGGCTATCCTGGGTCTGGCACAAGTTCCATACGACTGTGTTTTGTCTTGCTCACAGATCCTGGGGATCTATAGGGTTTCCAGGCCACTCCGCCTACCCCTCTATGTGGCCACGAGATCCTCCCCACTGAGGCAAGTGTGTGACTCCAGTTCTGTGAGCAAACCTCATAGGCAGAGATCTGTAGACACTTCCTTGCAAGGGCAGCGTCCGTGCAGGTTGATGAAGAACGAATGGCATTCCCACAATTTTATATTCTTGTTTCCATGCAGCAAGGCAATGGGTCAGTTGCAAGGGGTGGAGCAAAGCACTCAGATGACAGCAAGAGACCAGAGGTAGGTGGATATAATAGTCTGTGCAACACTATATGGATCTGGAGTTATTGCAACTGGAACCAGCTCTGAATTTAAATAGATACACCAGGCAGAAACCGTTATGTCGGTCAGCAAAGGAAAGGGCACAAACGCCTTTCAGAACGTGTCCTCTTCTCGGTGTAAGGAAATATGAATCAAATTCTGCCTTTGTGAACAGGAGCAGCCATGGCCATTGAGCAAATGGAAGCGGAGGCAGAAACTGGCTTGTCTCAGGATAGGCCAATGCTGTAATCTGATGCTACTCTCGGGGATACTGTGAACTTGATCAGAGGGGCAGGCTTAGTCAGAGTAACGTGGATGATTCTCAGTCCACTTCCCAGCAGACAAATGCCCACAACAGATAAACCACCATAACTGGAACTAAGGCCCCAAGCCGGCCAACAGCTTAAGCATGTGCTCAACTTTAAGCATATGCTTTGCTGGATCAGGGCCTAACTTAGGACCCTCCTTGTTGGCAGTCTCTGCAGAGAGGCCATGGATAGGCTATGGAGACTGACCTCCTCTTTCTTCCCTGGAGCTGGCTGAGACACGTTAGTGAGGCAGGGATGGGAAACTTGCACTGCTGCTCCCTGTCCTGGCCCTGTTGATTGACTTGGAGACATCAGCCTCCCGGGCGTCAGCACTAAAAGACAGGAATCGTCTGACTGTGGGCAAATAGCCAGGTGGCCTGGGATTAACGGCCGTGTTGTACTTTCACCCTGTTCTACAGCTCGTGCCACCCTTCCAGCGAGGAGGCAGCGCCACGTCTCTACACAACAGCCACCTGCGCACCACCATCTGCCAGCTCATGATCCACACCCTGGACCCCCTGGCCGAAGGTGAGCCAACGCCCCCCCTCCGTGTGATTCGACACTCAGTTCTGTGGCCGGGGTGCCGGCAAAGCTCATAGCGATAGACACAGGATCAGGTCCTAGGCTGGTGAAAATCAGCACAGCTCCGTCGAAATCAGTTCGGCTGTTCCAGTTTACAGCAGCTGAGAAGCTGATCCACAGCAGTGTGTGCATATAATTATTTCAGAATGGGAGTACTTTCCAAAGGTCAGTCCTCTCTCCAGTCAAGGGCCCTGTGCCTGGAGGAAATGGCACTCCATTTCTGATGTGCTGTGGGAGCTGTTATTACAGCAACAAAAACCACCCAGACTCATTAAACATACCTGGGAAGAGGCAAGCAAAGACAAATTCAGCGGATCTGGTTTTGCCGTGGCGCTGAACCGTTTCCCCAGCAGCTGAAGGATGACTGGCCACATAAAAATATGCACCTTTCCGAGCTGATGTTTAATGGCGCCGTGAATTTGTAGCCAGATGTTTTCTTTTCACCGGGCTACAAAATAAGCAATGTAGAGATTGCTGAGGGTAAATCTGACATCAGTGTGCTTTGGAAGGCAAAGCGCTCTGACCTTGGTAACACACAACTCTTAAAATTACAACCCTAACCTGAGGCCTTCGGTTCTTACTGAGGTCAACTTGCTTCCAACCGGCATACAATAGCTGGTGTTTCCCATATGATGCCAGCCGCTCCTCTTATGCTGAGGAAGTGGCACCATAGTTCCCCAGGATTCCCAGTGGCTGTAGGCATGCTTTCAAAATGCTAATTAAAGCACTAGCTAATTTTGCCTCTAATATATAATTGCAGCTATCTGGCAGGTATAACAAAGTACCATTTCTGATAGTGTTCCATGAAGTTCACACATCAAGTAAATTCTCATCTTAATACTAACACCCACTTTTGATCCAGGGTTAATTAAGTAAAGGGATGTACACAATGTAAATTGATGGCGATCAATAGGTTACAGATAAGTGAAGACAATAGCATTCACATTTCCCTTGACCCATATGAACACTCCAGTGAATTAGTACACTTAACATTCCTTTGATGCATCCGATGAAGTGAGCTGTAGCTCACGAAAGCTTATGCTCAAATAAATTGGTTCGTCTCTAAGGTGCCACAAGTCCTCCTGTTCTTATTCCTTTGATAGTCACACATAAGTTAATTGGCCTGTTGCTCTGACCTGAGCTGGTCTGTCAGAGTCACAGGCACTATAGAAAAAAAAAAAAAACGTATCTAAACAGATTAAACTAGCAATTGAAGAGAAACAGATCAACAGTGACTTCAGGGGGGTTTCCTCTTGTTACACCAAAGTTGCATTTGGCCCCGTGGGCGTTACAGCCAGGCAGGAGGCGGAAGATTCAGAACAACACTGGAATCAGGGATACCCATTCTTTTCAATAGGCTCAGTAGGCCATGCTGACCTCCTGGCGTGGAGTGCTTGAAGCCAATTCCATAAGAGGAATATACAAGAAATTAACAAACAAACCAGGAGGGCGGGATATCAGACACTGATCTTCCCGTGGTGGTTAGGCTGCTGAAATGCACGGGCAGACACAAGTTACCTGCCATCTTGCATAGCTGATAACTTCTCCATGAGCGAGACAACTCAGGTTCGTGGGTAATTTGCAAATGATAGTGCCACATGAGCTGCAGGGAAGAGGGAAGCTCTCTCCTGGAATGGAGAAAAGAAGCCATTCTGCAGAGGGTATGTTTATTGCTTCGCTGTAAGAAACCATAGCGTTAGCTATGGTATGCCTCCCCGCGCCCCAGCGCTGCCAGGATAAATGGGGGCAAGGCGGTGGTGGAGCGAGGCTGCTGAATAAGCCAGAGCACTGACAGAAACTTAACCTACAAATACCCTTTCTCCCCGCACCAACCTGCAGTTGACGCAGCCTCCTAGGCCAGCAACAGCCCCTGCCCTTGGAACGCATGTCAGGAGAATTAATGTCCCACTTTCAAATCACTGAGGCTGATCTCATGCAAACTGGCCAGTGGCCAGTCAGGCCTGAAGCTAATCAGTTTATCTTGGTCGAGAGATGCCCAGCCTGCCCTCACACTCCACTCCTAGAGGAGTCCACAGACTTCGCTCAGGGAGCCAACAGGTTAGTCCCATATAGTGCTGGGGCATGGCTGCCCTGATCCACCCCTCTGCAATGCAAGTGCTTTATCTCCCACTCGCAGCTGGGAGAGCATCAGGGAGACAGGGTGGTCTAGTAGTTAGAGAGCGAGCCTGGGCATTCGCCAAAGCACCCAGCTGTTTGCATCTGTGCACAGCAATGGGGGAGCTCTGCCTTGGAGCATTCCATACCCACTCTGCACATGGTTAAATGACACTACAAGGCGTAAGGCTGCAGGGAGTCTGGCTCTGAGCTCTGACTTATCCTTTCCCCCTCTGTACCAGGGGGATGAGAGCTAGAGCTGGTTGGAAAACTAAAAACACGGGGCTGCAATTTTACTCCCCCACCCCCATCCCATTTCTCACTGAAATATCATTTGGCTAAATATGCCCCCACCAACTCTGACATCCAGCTGCCTTTGTCAGGTGCTATGAGATCGTGGCCTGAGACACTAGTGTTACCTGATTTATGGATTATGTGTTAATTATACTGATTACTTAAGAATCATAGAATATCAGGGTTGGAAGAGACCTCAGGAGGTCATCTAGTCCAACCCCCTGCTCAAAGCAGGGCCAATCCCCAACTAAATCATCCCAGTTAACATTCAGATAGGTTCTTGTCTCAAGATCAGGCCCAGTATTCTTAAAGTTACTGTTCAGCCTGGAACCCCAATGTGCACAGCTGTAACACTCACATTTAGGAAACCCTTCTGTATCGGGTGATCGTTTTATTAATACCGTGAGCAAAGTCACAAACACTGTAACCCTGCCACGTAGCTAGAGATAATACAGGACGAGCATGCGAGCAGCCCTCTCCTCACACCATCCCCTGCAGAACAACCTGAAATGTTAATCAGTCACCTCCACACTCAAAACCTCTCACCTGAACTTAGTGGTGCTTTCAACCCAGGCTTGCTGGCCCATCCTGGGATCTAGGCTAGATCCCGGGTGCTGCTCTTGCTAGGGCTAGTAACCTCCCCACTTTGGCAAACCACTCAAATGCTGATAGTCCTCCAATGTCTTCCCACAATGCCCCATGTGCCCAGGAGGACAGCCAGGTTCTCCCACAATTCACAGGGAAAGAATTATAGAGCAGATCAGCTTGCTGCAAAGAGCCAGCACCACACATGGGGGAGCGCAGTACCAGCGAGCACACAGTAACTCGAGTAGGAGGCTTTGTGGGGTGGCTGCTCACAACTGGGTGGGAGTTAATTCCTTACTCCTGATGATAGGCCTGTCCCTCTTCTTATTCCCAGCAAAGTTTAAAGACAAGCTTGACGTCATGAGCAATTTGGCCACGGGCAAACTAGGCTCTCAGGTCAGACAAGGAGTGAAACCGGAAGGTGAGCTCAAGGCAAGCTGCGCCATTTGCCTGTAGCGTCCTTTTGCTTTGCACTGTACTTGCTCACCCCACCAGCACTGCAGATCTGGGACGGCCCACGAAATGTAGCCAGGCAACACAAATTCCTGCTCTGCGAGCACTGATCACATGCAGCTGTCTGTGCAAAAGCAGCTGCAAACGCTCGGGATATATACCGGCACCAAGAGCTGGCAATCAAGTTAGTTCCTGCAGAGCCCTGGGAGTACGTTAGTTAAATAAGCATCCAACTGGAAATGACCAGGATGCGACGGGCTATTCAATCAGAAGGGAGGATTGCGCCATTACATTCAGCAGCTGGGTGCTGATGCGTCACTAAGACAACAGGGGGGCTGCAAAGGGGATTTGTTCTTTAAAACAAACATAAGAGCCTGAGCCTGGGAGCTGGGTCTGACTCCTCGCCTGGAATGTGGCAGGGTGACTGTGCGACTGTCTTCTGAATAGCTGCTGGCTTTATCTATTTCAGTAGCAATTCATAGGCTGCTTGAGCTAGCACTTGTAGAGGTGGTAGCTGTCCCGCGCTGCAACATGGATCTATGCTATTCGTGGGGCTGGAGCCATCTGAAAGTGGATGGGTAAAATTCGCACTGAAGCGCCCATCTTTGCAGGCATGGTGCTATACCACTGGAGTGCCCTGACCATGTAATAACATAGTTTGGACTTGCCTGTGTAGATGGGACCAAGCTGTGGTAAAGCCCTAGATAAAGATCTGGGGGCATATCCTCAGCTGGAGCAAATTTTCATAGTTCCACTGACTTCAGTAGAGCCACCACTATTTACCCCAGGTGAGGATCTGCCCCCTGGAGGATCTTTCTTGTATAGATGGGGCTAGGTGACATCCTAGCCAAGTTACCACACTGTGCTATACCCTCAGGCCAGACGTTTTCAAAGTCCCACTTCTGTGCATCTCGTTATGCAACCCCCAAATGGCACATGCCAAGGACAGCTTCTGAAAACCTGACCTCACATTTGTACAAGGCTATAAAAACAGGATCACTAAAATAATTATAAGGGAGTTAGGTTCAGCCTGTACAGCTCAGGCAAAACCATCCTACAATACTAGTCTAGGTATGATTCTGTTTGAACATGATCCCCTGACCCAGCAGATTTGGCTATATAGATGGGCCCAGAACATATTCGCTAAGCCACATTACAGCAGCATGTCAAGGTCCCATTCTCTCTGACTCAATGCCTGTCTTCCCACCACTGTGCAATATCCATGTTCCAGCACTGTTCTGAGCGGCTGTTTGTAGGTTTCTCTCGCTTTCGGTAACATGGGTTAATGACATTCCTGGAGGGACCAGCACAGAGGAGTTCTGGGGATTTTTTCCTTTGTTATCGGGTGTCAGCACTTTTCTCTTTGGACATGTGCCAGGTGATTAGGGATTAAAGCCTGGCAGCCAGAACAGTCGTTTCTGAGAAACCTTGAACAATGCCAGACCCTAGAGAATGCCCCTGTCATGGTGGAAAGAAGGAAGCAGAGCCCTGCATCCTGCCTGGTTGTTGAGGCTGGCTTTAATAGAATTCTCAAACTCTGCGCCGTGACACATGTCCGCTAGCAATCAGCCAATCAGCACTCCCTCCCCTCGCTATGCGTGCTTTTAGCCGCACGGGTATTACAGAAGTGATGCCCCAGCACAAAGAGGTGAGGCAAAGCTGCTATAAAAACCTTACATCCAAGGTTAGTGGGCCTGATCGTGACCTGCTTTTGCTGGCCACACTGTATAACTGGGGTGTATCTGTAGGATAATCAGAGGAAACAAACAGATTGACCTTCCAACCCTTCAGAAAGAGCTTGCTCTGCACTGCTCCAGTTTATGGGGTTGGAAACGTAAATGTTTCGCACTCTCAAGCTCCCTGCTGGTAAGGGGGGAGGTCATCTCTAACTGCTTGCATCGCTGGGCCCAGCTCTCTCTCTCATCCTTTCAAGCAGAGAACAAAGCAGAAGCAGAATTAGCAACCATTGTTCAAGCCACACCTGTCAGCGACTCCAACCTCAGCGCGGTGGAGGATGAACACAGTGTGGACAAACCCCATGGCGGGCAGGTACTGTGAACTGGAGCCACATGGAACAAGAGCTCAGCCCAGGCCAAAACCTCAGAGCCATGTCCGGTGAAAGAGGGCACAGCCCAGCTCAAGTAATTAGCCACTCTAAATAGACCTTCCTTGTAGTAACAAGCTAGCTTGAGTGGCAACAGAGAGAGCAAACACAAGTAACTAGTTAGACCCAGTCAGCTAAGACCGCAAAATGCTCCTTCTAGTCAAATCCAGGCTCAGAGGTCCTACAGCACCAGACTGTGGTTGCCTCACGTAGTGTACTGCTTTACTCCTCAAGCTGTCCCATTGATTTCAGTGAGACTGCTCAAGGAGTAAGTTACTCCGCAGTGGAAATGAGGCTATCACAACCTGTGTAAATTGGTTAGGGCAAAGACCGTGTCATCCTCCGTGGCAGTTCTTTTTGTTCTAATACGATTTGCCCTAACCCAGGGAAGGGACAGTGGCCCCTTTAAAGAGATGAGGATATTTTGTGGTGTTGATGACCTAGTGGTTTTAAAGCCAGGTAACATGTATTGTCTGTGTGTGTCCAGGGCCCAACACAACGGGGTCCCGATCCATGACCAGGGCCTCTGGGCACTACTGTAATACATACACTTAAGATATTCAGGAGTCTGACTGCAGCCTCTCTGGGCACCTGCACTGAGAGGGGGTCATTCACAACGTGGTCACGTAATAGTGACCTGGGGGACGGACTGTTCTGCAAATATGTACAAGCGGGATAATCAAAAACAAGATCTCTGCCCTGGGGGACAGGAACACACTGAGCCAGCCATGGCTGTGTGTGTATGCGCACATGCACGTGTGGAGCCGTCAATGTAGATTTCTAGTTGTTTCAAAATGTGTGTGTGGGGGGGTGTGTGTTTTTGTTTTACAGCGCTCTCTGGATATAGAAGGCAGCAGCTCTGAGGAGGAGGAAGATTGTGATGATGAGAGTGAGGATGAAGATGAGGAGGAAGAAAATGACGAGCCATTATCCCTCAAATGGCCAGAGACCAGGAGAAAACAAGCGATTTACCTTTTCCTCCTGCCCATTGTGTTCCCTCTCTGGCTCACAGTGCCCGATGTTAGGAACCCAGTAAGATTTTACTTTCTTTATGCCACTGCGATGGATAACTAAACTCTAGCTTTATTAGCAACAGAGCCACGGGGTTTCTGTTTTCCCCATGGATAGCTAGGGCCTCTATGTACCTACTTCCCACTGATGGTAGTGGGAGCTGGAGCCCCAGTTCTGGGACTGGGGTTGCTTTCAAAGGCAAGAAGTAACTGAAAGCAGGTATTCTTCTCTACCTTGCCCTGAATTTTACAAGGCAAAACCAGCAGGCAATGGCTAATGCTGAGTAGCAGAGACTCCTCTAGGAAACAGCGGAGGCTGTGTCAGTCCCAGATTTGGTAGGACAGAAACCACCACTGCAGATGGTACTCTCAGCTAGCAGTGGCAGAAGAGAGGCTAACAACAGAACGAGCTCGGAGCCCGAGCTCCCCTCTGTCCTGGCCAGGGCGTCGGTCCGTGTTGTGTGGGAGGCAGATCGGCAGGGAAGCGTGGGCCGCTTCGCACTGCCGCTGCGTTCATTATACCTGCTTGGAGCTAGAAGACGTCACTCCCCACGTCAGCACTTCTTTTTTTTTTAAGCAAACCCTGAAAAATGTAAAGAAGAAATAAACAAAAATTGTTTCTGTGCCTGCGTAGGACTGGCCATAGAGCTCGTTAACTGGCAGGAGACTGAATTACTCCATACTGCTGCTCTCTAGATCCATGGCATTTCATTGGCAGCAGGTAGTCATTGCACCTAGCGGCGCTGGTTACATCCGATATTTCTCTACCACTGCGGTTCTCAAACTTCACTGCACCACGACCCCCTTCTGACAACAAAAATTACTACACCACCCCAGGAGCCCGCCCGAACCCCACCACCCCAGCTGCGGGGGGGGCCAAAGCCGAAACCCAAGCCCCGCCGCCCTTGGCAGGGTGCGGGCAAAGCTGAAGCCCAAGGGCTTCAACCCCAGGCAGGGAGCTTGTAACCTGAGCCCCACTGCCCAGGGCTGAAGCCCTTGGGCTTGGGCCTCAGGCAGTCGGGGTCGGGCTCGGGAACCGCTGCTCTACTACATGGCTGCAGGCCGTTAGCAATGAGGGTGAAGTCTGCCCACTGAACAGGCACATGACAGGATGCAAGAGCCTCTGCAAAAAATACTGGCAGTGGCATGAAACGCAATAAAATAGCGTGGAGTGGAAACTAAGCACGGTGAAGCTTGTTTTAAGCGACCACCTAAGGTATCAAGAAAAACTCGGCACTTAGAGGTGTGAAAAATCAAACAAAATGATACCAGAGACTATAGGGCCATGTTAAAATAAGACTATGAGGTGAAGTGATGGAGGGTGAATAGGGCTGTTGGAAAGATCAGAACCCTAATTGTTTTCTTTTCAAACTTGCTTTGAACAGAGGTCTAGAAACTTCTTTGCCCTCACATTTCTAGGAGCCATCGTCTGGATTGCAGCATTCTCCTACCTCATGGTGTGGTGGGCACATCAGGTAAGAGGTTCTCTTTCTCCCTAAAAACAAAGAGTGGTTCAAAAAACAAGTCGAGGGGGGAAAATGCCCTACTGTGGCAGACACATTTGACCTGGTCTACACCCTACAAATTAAATAGACCAAGCTACATGGCTCAGGCCTGTGAAAAATTTTGCAGCCCGTATGATATAATTAGGTCAGCCTAAGAATTGTTCCACGGACTTAGCTTCCAGCTCTTGGAGAGGCGGAGGACAGTGATGGAAGAACTCTTTCCGTCGATGTAGGAACCGTCTATATTACAGGGGCAGCAGCACAGATGTTACCCTTTGTTTTCAATGACTTTACAGCTGCTGCCATCAATTAACACGAGACATTTTGTTCTGGAAGAACCCAAGTGAGAATGTTCAATCCCGTCCTTTTTCATTTGACAAAGATTAATTTCCACCCCCACCCCCACCCCAGTTTCTAAGGGAATTTGTGCATCAGTGGAAGAAATGTCGTCAAGCTGACAATTATCTTAATAGTCTTTTTATCAATGCATGTTTCGATGGGGGGAAATAAGTGTTTTATCCTTCTCTAATTAAATTTCTAATAATAGAGGGTCTGATATAGCATGGTGCTCAGTGCCCTCAGGCCTCTGGCCTTAATATCAATTTGCTATTCAAGGGGAGGCGAAGGTACTCGGCCCCTTGCAGGATTGGGGCCTACAATTTGTATTTGGTAATATATTGTACGCCTATGTTATAGTTAATCAAACCACGAATCAGCAGAAATTGTGGACACCGAACCACAGTAGAGATCTCAGCAAATGGGATTGTGCGTCCAACTAGGCAGACCACTCAGAGAAAGAACTGATCACGATTTGGGCCAGTTTTAAATTTGGAGAGTAAAGCGAACGCCACACCGTCTGGAGACGGTCCAAGACAGACACGTGCTGTGGTGCAACGGAACACGCTCCCACTGGGGCTCGCCTCCGAGGCCCCACTTTGCAGTTAGAAGGGGATAAAGGAAATAGCTTTCCATTAAAGAGAGGGTTTCACATCAAAACAAGCTAGAGAATTAGGCTATCTTGAAAAGCAGAAATAGGCTGCAGCCTTTAAGGGGGTTTCAGATAAAATCACAACCCAAATACAGCACCACGCCTTCAGGAATGAAAAGGGTTAATTCAATTCTTTGTTTTAAAACTAAGGACCATTGTTGCTGTTTATTAGGTTGGAGAAACCATTGGGATTTCGGAGGAAATTATGGGTTTAACAATCCTGGCAGCAGGGACTTCAATCCCTGACCTCATCACAAGTGTTATTGTTGCACGTAAAGGCCTGGGTGACATGGCTGTCTCCAGCTCTGTGGGCAGCAACATCTTTGATATCACTGTTGGGTAAGTACTAGCCACATGTTAAGAGTCACGTTTGTTTTGAAGTAGAAAATGCTGTATTTCTATTCCAGTCTAAATCTGACTCGTTACTTTCACGTTGGATAAAAACCAAATTAAAGAACAGCAGGACAGTTAGTTACACACATTCATTTGAACAGATTTCTTTAGTTAACTTGACCCAAAAAGAGAGACTTTATAACTAAAACCCAACACCAGGTACTGCAGTGTGGGGATAACTCAAGGCTTTTTAAGTGGTGTAAGTTTTTAGTTTAAACAGCTGTATTGCCACTGAACATGAGTATGTGGTTTAAAATAAATAACAACAGCAGCTTCACCCAAGGATCTCAGCATGCCTCAAAACATTTAATCTTTCAGCACCAAGGTGTTGGAGACAGTGACAGTGTCCCTACTTTAACTGAGAAGGTTTCCCCCTTCTTAACTGACATTTTAAAAAAAATTATTTCTGTTTTTTTTTATGGTTTAGGGTAATGGGACTTGCATTGATCCTGTTACAGTTTGATGGATTTTTATATGATAAGATCTAGAGATCTACTGCACTCAGCTGACATTGCTAATTTTAAAATCAGACACACTGTGGTACTCACTGAGTAGCCGTTTTTCCAAAATTAAATAGCTCTGTCATTTAAAAAAAATGCAAAGGGGCTTTCACATTTAGTGTAGCTTACAGCATGACACAGCCCAGTGGTAGTTTTTGATTAATATGTTTTACTAGCTATGCTTTAGAGAGAAATCTGAAAACATGGTTTAAGAAGTTTGTTTTTCAATGATTCAGGCCAGATGCTAAGTACATAGAGCTGTCAAGTGCCTGTTTAACAATTAGGTACCTTTTGAAACATTAGAACACTGACCACGTGATGGGGCAATTCCTGATTGACCAGACTGTGGTGCACAGAACCCTTTCTGGTGGCCTGGATTGCTGCCAAGTTACCTGATCTGCTTCCTCTTCCTGCTCTGGGGCTGCTTGTACAGGTCCCCAGGCTCTTCATCTTTGGAGTCTGCTCAGACTGGCTGGAACAGAGCTGCCATCCCTCTAGATTGCTGTGTTACAGATCTCTGATAGATAAAAGAAGAGGTGGTAAAGGAGTGGAAATTTCCTGACTCAGTAATTTTCTTTCTGCTAGCAGCATCTCACACAGTCCTGCTGCATGTGGGCAGTGTACTCCCCTCCTGTCTGCAGTTTCCGGAGGCAGTTCAAGGCCATAGAATAGCCTGTGCTAGCCACGCGCCCTTCTCGGGCCTGCCGCCAGGCTATTCATTCCCAAGCTGTGTGGAAACTGGGAGAGAATAATGAGTGAGTAATTCCAACGCCAAGCAAGTAAGACTGTACAGTAAGTCCTTGCTTAGATGGTAGCTGTCCAAATAAAATGGTGACTCTTGGCTGCAGAGCCATCCAGCGTAGCAGAATTGTGGGAGATGCTGCTAGCAGAAAGGAAATTATTGGGAAAGAAAATTTCCATTCTGCAGCCCAGCCTCTCCCACAATTCTACTACTCATGGGAGTGGCTAGGAGCAGGGAGGGTTAAGAGAACAAACAGAAGGAAAAGGAAACCCCTCCCCGCTTCCCCCATTTTTCCCTTTTGGATTGCTCAGATGGCAAGGTTGTTACTGGACCACCACCTGTAGCACCCTCTTCCCTTGAGACAGGGATTTCACTGTCAAAGTAAGGTTTCCATACAGAACCTCGTTTTCTTCACCCATTTGTTGAGTCTTTTAAGGTTGAAGATGGCACTGACATCCCCAGGGCGCTTCTGAACAAAGATGATGCTGGAGTAAAATGCTGAGAAGCGTTCTTCTGGAGGAACACCTTCTATCATTCCTATATCCAGGAGATGGGAGAACTCATTCTGGACCAGCTTGCACCTGGCAGGATCGCTAGTGATGGAAGAAGAGGGATGGGATGAAGCCTTTATTGCACAAGGGATACTCCTTCAAGCTCTCTCTCACACCCACTTGTCTGTGGTAGAGGCAACCCATTCATCTGGAAAGTGGGAAATCCTGTGTCCTGAGCTCAGGTTTGGGCAGAAGAACGTTCTCTTGTCGTCATAACGAGTCCTTAGAGGCTGCAGGAGCACCTTGAGGTTTTCTGCTCACTCCTTGGGTCCCTTGACATATCTGTTCTCTTTCCTCTGGAACCTCTATGAGGAAAATGGATGAAAGGAGCTGATAGTGGGTTTGTAGTTCCTTCCGTGAGCCTGTCCAATTTTTTTCTAAAGAGGAGAAATCCTGTAAATTTAACACCGGACTTGGAGTATCTACTGTCCAGGAAGCAAAGCCATATGTGTCTCCTGGCCACTGAGCTGGATGCCCTGGCTCTGGCAGAAAACCTTATAGCATCTAGCGGAGCATTGGCCATGAAAGCTGCTGCTAGGGAGATTTTTCTTAAATATAGATTTAAAGTCAGGTTGGTCTCTGACCTTAAGGGCTTTAAGGTCCTCCAGCCATGACACTGTGGCTCAAACAGAGCATGTGTCTAAGGGTGTCTGAAGAAGCATCAAAGCCCCTTCTAAGGCTTCCACCTTCCTATCCATTGGATCCTTGTGGAAGAAGTCCCCTTTGGATGGACTAACCCTATGCTCTGCTAGAGATGCTATGGCAGCATTGACCACAGGCATATCTGTGAGAGCATTCTTTGGCTCTTGCAGCTCGTAGAATCTGAGAACATGCCTCTCAATGCTTTTATCATTTTCAGCAGATTCCCACACCTCCCGGATTACCTCCTCAAAAGGATGGGTGCAGGGAAATCACTGCCTCAAGGGAGGATTTGTCAGTGAGGTATTTGCTCTGAGACTTGTGCTCAAGGTCCTGCTCAGGCTGGAGCTCAATTGTGGAGAGAACCTTTTTGCACCTGGTTACAAACTTCTCAGGGGGAAAAAACCTTTGTTGCATTTTGTCCAGGTCCTGCTCAGAAGTAGTCTGCTAGCTCTCCTTCGCAGCCGAGGAGGAGGTGTCTGAGTCAAAGGACAGATATCTTCTATGGCAGACCCTTTTGCAGCTAGCTTTGCACTGGGCTCTGAGCCCTCTAGAAATTTCTACCTCTGATTCCTCTCTTGTAGGCTCACACTCTCCCAGGCCAGGGGATGTGGATTCACTGCCAGAGTTTCCTGCCTCAAGCGGCGAGGAAGGGATGCTGATTGTAAGCCCTGCTTCTATCCCCAAGGCACTTTGGACCCATTCAGGATGTGGGGTGGGATGGGGTGGGGTGGGGCCAGGAGCCTTGTTGGTAAGTCTTATCCTTAAGGTCCTGAATTGCCCCAGGACTCCCCCTCCCCCAGGCTGGCTGAATGGAGTCCTTAGAACTGCTCCCTGTTCTGTTCTGTGTCTCCCGCTCACGCTTGTCTGTGGTGGAGTCGCAGCTTCCTCGGGGATACAGGTCCCAAGCTGCTTGTCAAACTCCAAGCTCTGCACCCTAGCAGCACTCGGGTCAGCTGGCTGACAATAGGCAGGGCATAATTTTTCCTCTGTAGAGCCCGTTAAAGCTGCCTCACGAGATGGAGCCCCTTGGGGGGTTAGCCGGGAGCCTGCGCAGATGCTCTGCCATCCCTGAAAGCTGGCAGAGGGCCTTGAGCCACATGCTGCTAAATACCTGGTCCAAGAGGGAGAGAATACAAAGCAGGCTGCTACCTGCTGCCCAAAAACAAAACCCCAAAAGGCAAAGAAAAGGTCAGGAACACAGAGGACCACCTCTGACGGCCCCTGGAGGCAGAAGAACTGGCAGCAGGCCAGAGAAGGGGGCACAGCTAGCCCAGGCTGTGCTACAGCTTTGAACGGCCTCCGGAAACTGCAGCCCGGAGAGGAATCGCCCACACGTAGCAGAAGCATGGGGGCTGCTAGGCTGCAGAAACAGGAGCCGAGCCAGCAGCAGGACAGGAAACGCCAGGTGCCAGTGGGCCCTGGAACTAGGTCTGGGCAACACATGCAAGGATAGAAGAGGACAAGTCAGCAGGAAAGCATACGTAGAGGAAGAGAAGCCTGAGACCAAGCACTAGAGCAGCAGTTCTCAAACTGTGGGTCGGGACCCCAAAGTGGGTCACGACCCCATTGTAATGGGGTTGCCAGGATTGGCTTAGACTTGCTGGGGCCAGGGACCAAAACCCGAGGGCTTCAGCCCGGGCATTGGGACTCAGGTTACAGGCCCCTGCCTGGGGCTGCAGTCCTTGAGCTTCAGCTTTGCCGGCCCCCCGCCCACCCACAGGGGCTCGGGTTGGCTCAGGCTTCAGTCCCTCCTCCTCAGGTTGCACAGTAATTTTTATTGTACAAAGGGGATCATGGAGCAATGAGGTTTGAGAACCCCTGCACTAGAGAAGCACATGTTTGGGAGTTGGAGTCAGAGATGGACAGGAGAAATAGAGCAGAGATTAAATGAGTGGCAAGAGGAGATCAGTGGGATCAGGTTTCGTCCCCCCCCGGGGAGATCCCATGTATTGCATTTCAGTTTTATGTTAGCAGCCGATGTTGCTGCAGCAGGTCTGTGAAAGAGGTTATTAAGATGCAGCCCAATCTCTGGAAAAGTTTGAGCATATGCCTCCCTAGGCTCACCCAGTTTCAGTTTTTCAAGAGAGCAACAAAGATCTCTTGGCCTAATGCTCAGGATTTGGAGTCTGGAGATCCAAGTGTTGTCTCATCTATCTCAGGCTTCCTGGGGGAGTTTACTCAAGACACAAGCTCCACGCCTGTTTTCCCCCCATCTGTAAAACAGAGATAAGACTTATGTTACCTGACTTTGTGGTACAGAAAGGTTTAATTCATGAATATTATTGGTAGGGTGCTTTGAGATTCCTGGTTGAAAAGAATGAAAGCAGTGCAGAGTACTATCCCAAACTCAATTCCTAGGGTAGAAAGCAAGATAAGGCAGTTTTAGATAAAACAACATAGTGAGGATTGCACATTAAGTTTTTCTGCAGGGATCTTGATACCAATTGCTTTATAGCTATGTATAAAATTCAATTTTGCATGAACTTCTCTAAGCATTCCTTTAAACTGCTTTTCCCTTACTTACAGTTTGCCAGTTCCTTGGTTCCTTTATTCGGTCTTCAATGGACTCAGCTCAGTTGCTGTCAGTAGTAATGGTTTGTTTTGTGCAATTGTTCTGCTTTTTCTCATGCTCCTGTTTGTGATCACCTCCATTGCTCTATCTAAATGGAAAATGAACAAACTGTTGGGGCTCACCATGTTTGCTCTTTACTTTGTATTTTTGATTATCAGTGTGATGCTAGAAGATAGAATCATAACCTGCCCAATATCTGTGTGAGGCTTGGGTGTAACTACTCTTTGGGCAGCACAAGTCGATGTGATCTCCATATACAGTATGTATAAGTGAACTTGAAAATGGGTTTAAGGTAGTTATGTTTTACTTACTTAAACCAATTGTAAACTTACTGAAAACTGTGAAAACTAAGCTTAGTGAAACTTAAATTCAAATAAAGATTTCTATTAATATATTTATTTGCATGAATATATATTTAGGCCCCAATCCTGCAAAGACCCACACAGGTGTTTAAAATGTTATGCACTGCAAGTAGTCCTATTGACGTAAGAAGATGAAAGACTGAGGCCCTGCCCACTTGTAGTCATTAAAGATCCCTGGCAATTTTTGCAGGAGTCAGAGTATTATTAGTCTTTGCAGAAACAGGGTCTAAATTATTAATGAAAGGGCCTGATCCTACACCCACTGAAGTCAATGGAGCTTTGTCAATGGGTGTGGGATTTAGCCCTGTGGAGAGAGCCAGTGCTGATCTTCTTACACCCCCCAAATAGGGCTTAAATAGGATGCAAGTGTTGAAAAGGCCTAGAGTTGGTCCCTCTAAACAGAGGGGAATTTCACCCTAAACTCTTTGGAGACAGAGCAATAAACTGATTTCTGTGCTCAGTCGGAGAAGCATTTACCAGTTACACAGCAATCCTGAAGGAGATCCACTCTTCTCCATTATAAATAGGCATCTAATCCTGCAATGTGATCCCTCAACTCATGGTGAAATCCTACATAAACCAGTGGGACTCCATATGAACGTAAGAGTCCATTGGTACAGTTTGCTTTGCAGGATTCAGGGACTAGGAGAGCAAGCTGCATAGCAGTAAAAGGTAAGGAAAACAGGAAGTGAAACTGTTATCAAAAGAAGCAGCAGAAGTGATCTTATATTGCTTTTCACCCCCTGAAAGTGATTGTATTCAACTTCTGTTAGCACTAATGTGTTTTGCATAATTGTGTCACATGAGGAAATTCTAATTGTCATCCACCATTATCAATTAGCCTGAATGGTTCAAGGTTACCAATGGCTCAATTAAATGAGCAAAGTGATGAGAAAGTATAGATGCTTCTGTCATTCTTAAACCATTTAATAAAATTTAAATGAGCATAACCATCCTGAGAACTTTAGCTTTTTATTTACTTGTAAAACTTTGAACTTTTATTCTTTTGGATGAGACAAAAAGGTTTATCATTGTGAACAGTGACCTATATATTTTAAATGAATTACAAAACAAAATAAACATCCAACAAACTGATGTTCTTTTTGGTAAATAAAATTTAAATGTTACATATTTACAAATCTACAACCATTCATTTAAAAAGTGCTGTTTGCAGACTAACAAAGTACCATTTTAAAATCCAGGTGAGAATATTATAATATCTAGAAATACCCCCTCTCTGAAATTAAAATTTGTACCTTCCATTTGTTATACAAAGATTTTGCATGCAGAAATTGTTCCTTTCTTTCGTCGGGCTAGAAATTATTTCATTTGTCCGTGGAAATTTAATAAATCATTTTATCATAACTGTACCAAGAGCAAACCTAATGGCAATGGGCAGTATTTAACAGTCACTGAAAAAAACTTCCACTTCTAATAGCATCTCATTATTCCATCCCTAACAGTACTTTTCCCCTCTGCTGCTATGGTCGAACAAGAGAAAAGCATGGTATATATATTGCACTAAAATGTAAAACACTTATTTAAAGTTAATGGAAAGAAGCACTATATAGTACACATAATATTTTACAATTTTTAAAATTGAAAATATATTCCAGAAGTACTAGAAAACATATTCATCCTCGCAATACTGAAAACAATCAAAATGCTTTTTTAATAAGGGTCAGTGAAGGCTGAAAATTATTTCAATATTGGATTGTATGATGCTTAGAAACTTTCCACCTTCAGGACCTGCATTCTGACCACCACATTATAACCATCTGAATGAGGAGAATTTCTCATTCATCTAAAAATGTATCAGTTTGAGAAATATAAAATATCTGAGAAATTATCTGGAAAAAGGGATAAATAATGAGGTGGCAAGGTTTGTAGATGATACAAAATTACTCAAGATAGTCAAGTCCAAAGCAGACTGTGAAGAGTTACAAAGGAATCTCACAAAACTGGGTGACTGGGAACAAAATGGCAGATGAAATTCAATGTTGATAAATGCGAAGTAGTGCATTGGAAAACATAATTCCAACTATACATACAAAATGATGGGGTCTAAATTAGCCATTATCACTCAAGAAAGAGATCTTGGAGTCATCATGGATCATTTTCTAAAAACATCTATTCAATGTGAGAAGCAGCTGAAAAAACTAAATGTTAGGAACCATTAGGAAAGGGATAGAGAAGATAAAAATATCATGCCACTATATAAATCCATGATATGCCCACACTTTGAATACGGCGTGCAGTTCTGGTCATCCCAGCTCAAAAAGATATATTAGAAATGGAAAAGAAAAAACAGAAGGGGAACAAAAATGGTTAAGGGTAGGGAACAGCTTCCATAGGAGGAAAGATGAAAAACTCTGGGACTCTTCAGGTTGGGGAAAAAAGAGACGACTAAGGGGGATCTGATAGAGGGCTGTAAAATCATGAATGGGGTGGAGAAAATGAATAAGGAAGTGTTATTTACCCCTTCACATAAAACACAAGAACCGGGGGTCATCTAATGAAATTAATAGACAGCAGGTTGAAAACAAACAAAAGGAAGTACTTCTTCACACAACACACAGTCAACTTGTTGCCAGGGTATATTGTGATGGCCAAAAGTTAAAACTATAACTGGGCTAAAAAAAAGAATCAGATAAGTTCATGGAAGATGGCTAATAGGTCCATCAATGGCTAAGATGGTCAGGGAAGCAATCCCATGCACTGGATGTCCCCAAGTCTTTGACTGCCATAAACTGGGACTGAATGACAGGGGATGGATCACTTGATAATTGCCCTCTTCTATTTATTCCTTTTGAAGCATCTGTTGGAAGACAACATACTTGGCTAGATGGACCATTGGTCTAACCCAGTATGGCCATTCTTATGTTATAATGTTTCTACAGCTGACTGACTTACAACAGGTTTTGCAAAAGGAGTATTTAAAAGTTAAGTGTATAATGATTTAATTTGATAAATAAAAACTACATGATATATTAATGTAAAGCAAGCACAACTAAACATCAGCAACCTTTTAGAAGTGCAGTCTTAAGAGGGCAAGGGCATGCTAAAATTGCTTGCCTGAAATAATGAGACACAAACACAATATTTTTATGGTACATTATGTGCTTTCAATACAATACTGAAGGGACTTTTCATACCTGCATAAGCTGGCAAACTTGTTTGGTCTTCTACAATTAAGGTGGTAGAAAGCAGTCCTAAGCAAGCTGGGCTAAAGGATTGGGCTATGTATTAAATATGTTGATATTCCGTGCTAGCTCAAGTGCATAGTTGCAGTGCAATGCACTATCAAATGAGACTTGGTTTGGAGACCAGGCTCAGATACTTGTGCCAGTACAGGCTAACCGCTCAATCTAAAACACGAAGCCTGCCTCATGGCTTTCCAAGTACCTCTGTAACACCAATGACCGCTCTGGAGAAACAGCTTCTTCTCCTTCATGGTTATTAGGTACTATAAAATGGTGATTATCAAGTAGTAGTAACTGGAGTTGGAAATAGGGTTTACAGAAAGTGGTATAACACTGCATTATACACAGCACAAATATGCAGGTAGTTATTTACATACATGGCAACTACTGAAGGTAACTTCTACTTGGTAAATACAATGTAGCTACAGCAGAGCATGCATACATGTTACTAGGTACTTACAATGAGTAAGTTCAAAAGTAATGATCATGTATTCTGCACGCTTGTTCTGAAGACTGAGCTGAACATGTTGGCAGTGTATTTATCATGTATTGTAACTGATGATTAATATGGTAGTGTTACAACATCAGTGAGGAATACTTTTCAGAAAATGTGGGCACTACAAAATAAAGCATCACACATTTTTAAAATAATTAAGCATGTGAAAACTGGTGGTAAATGTAATGTTGCTATCTCCCCCTAAAGAAAAAAATAGCTACATGATTAGCAGCATCTTAGAAAAGAGGTATTATTCAATGAAAGCTGATCCAAAAAGACCAAACGTGGGTCAAGATGTATTTCGCATGTAACATTAAGAGTAAACTGTAGCTCTTGACATTTTAAAACCTTCTGCTTAGGGCAGCATCCCCTTATTCTTTTGAAGGGGGATTGGTAGGTGCTTTGAAATTACCCTCTAAAGGTCTAATCATATTTCCATTCAATAATAAAATAAAATAATAATAATAATAATGAAGTCAAGAGAATTTTTCAATTTACTTCAGTGGAAACAGGATAGAGTCCTCACTGCCCCTCGTTAACTCTGACAAGATGGCAGATGTGAGTGTCTGGAGCAATGCAGAAAACTCCCACAAAAAGGTATATTTATCCTTTCCACCTAGGTAAATATCATGGTAGGCTTGCTCTTGGAAATGAGAAAGGTTGAGGGATATCTGCAGGCAGGCAAACCCAAACCTGTCTCCCAAAGATTGAAAGTGTCTTCTCCACCTCCAATGCTGCAGGGTGGTAGGAAAAAACTTGCACATAGAACCTTTGATACTTTATACATAAAACCCACTTTCTGGTGTGTAGCTGCTGTGAATGAGTGTGTAACATTTTCTGAAATTTCTAGAACTTCAAACCATGAGCCAGAAGTCATGACTCCAAGGTGGAGATATTTTCCTTACAGAGCCAAAGTTACTGTGTTGCCTGTGAAACATAAGATCAGCCAATCCAAATATACCTTCTGACATATAGCATATCCCAACGGATTCCATTTCCTGTATATTTCATGTAGTATATTTGCCATATCCATTTTCTCATTTAAAAAAAAAAAGTGTAGCTTTGGACCAGGATGAACTAAGTGCCATGTTTAGGGAATTTACAAAGATACCTACACCTCCATATACAGGACTGTACACTATACATTTTATGTGGAACTATTTTTGTAAGCTATTTGCTATACATCTTGTAATCTATATCCATAGATATATTAAATTAGTGAATGCCAACAGCTAAAAAGCATTGGATCTCCTTAAAGTAAATTGTGGGATCCTTCAATGTATTACAGAATTTTGTGGGGGACTTCTACAGAAATTAAGATACTGTACAGAGTCAACAGAGTGTTAATAACCATACTTTTACACAAGTTTGCCATACTTTTCATCTAATTGCAGTGGTAGTATATAATTCTGTGTGTGTGTGTAAGAGAAATACTGGCCCCAGAATGTTACCTAGGACAGTGATGAAATTATAGACCACTTCAAAAACAAATTATATTTTCAAAACCTAATTGGACCAGGTACTATAAATAGCAGAAAAAAATGAGCACTGTATTACTTATGCAATAAATTCATTTAAAATTCACTAGAGTAATTAAAAAGATTAAAAAAATATGAACTTACTATAAACAATTTAAAATATGTATAATACAACTTTGTATGCTCTTCGTAACATTTTGAATATTCTATGTAAACAGATTTGCAGAATTTACTTCACTCTTGCTAGTTTCAGTGCATCATTTTTGTCTGCCTCTCCCACGTTTTCTTTAAAGGACTGTAAAATGTTGTCCCCCGTTAGAGAACTGATTTAGTTTAGAGTCCCCCTACTCCACAAAATGATTTGCAGGGAGAAGCAAGGAGAGGAAAGTAATATTTGGCCTCTTCTTTGCTCATTGTCCATTTTTGTAACTGTACATGGGCCCAATTTTTCCCAGTCTGACACAGTACATTTGTAAATATGTTTTCAAACACTGAAGACCAAGATGTTCTTTGTGACTTTACAGATGTATACAATTCATTAAAATAAATATATATATATTAAAGATATGGTTCTCCAAAAATCTTTCGGCATTCCATCACTCCAGTACTTGGTGGTCTATCGCAGTTGTGAGTGCTCTTCACCTGATTAGCTGTGAGACGATCATAGGCCATTTTG